GCTGGCAGAAACTGTGCTGGAGTTGCCTCTGAGCATTGATGCGTACCACCCAGGGGGGTGGAGAGGGTGGTGGGAGAAATCAGATCAGAGTTCAGAATGCAACCGTGATGCTGTATAATTGTAAGACTGCATCTTGCAGGTACTGTCAATGCCACTACCAATATTGCTCACTTAAGCACTTAAGAGCAGATTTGAACACAATTCTCTGACTCCTAAGCTTAAGCACATGACCAGTACCACTGGACAACCTATGTCCTCAAAGATGCATCTTTTCAATTACTTTCTCTAGGGGCCAGGCGCGATGGCTCATGCCTGTTATCCCAGCACTTTGGGAGGCTGAGGCAAGCAGATCACCTGAAGTCAGGAGTTCAAGATCAGCATGGCCAACATGACGAAACCCCGTCTCTACTAAAAATATAAAAATTAACTGGATGTGGTGTTTGACACCAGCCTGGCCAACATGGTAAAACCCTATCTCTACTAAAAATACAACAAACTTAGCCAGACGTGGTGGCAGGTACACCTGTAGTTCCAGCTACTCGGGAGGCTGAGACTGGAGAATTGCTTGAACCTGGGAGTTGGAGGTTGCAGTGGGCTGAGATTGCGTCACTGCACTCCAGCCTGGGTGATAGAGCAAGACTATGTCTCAAAAAAAAAAAAAAAAAATTACTTTCCCAGGAGTAGAAATGGATTTATGCTGAGTCACCCAAGCTTTCATTTCATCCAGCGGTTGTGAGTCTATATTCTGGAACCAGCTCTGTCACATACTGACCATATGACCTTGGGAAATTTACCTAAAAATTCTCCATGGCTTCAATTTCCATGTGTGAAATGGCGATAATTATACCAGCTACCCCATAAAGTTGTTTTGAGGTTTAGAGATGTAAAGAGCTTAGAACATGGCCGAGCACATACTTTGTACCACGTAAGTGTTACTTTCATTTGTTTTTCTAATATTAATTTAAAACCTCTGCTCTGGCCAGGTATGGGTGGCTCACGCCAGTAAGCCTAGCACTTTGGGAGGCTGAAGTGGGAAGATTGCTTGACGCCAGGAGTTAAAGACCAGCCTGGGCAACATAGCAAGATACTGTCTCTATAAAAAATTTTAAAATGAGCTGGGCGTAGTAGCACACACCTGTAGTCCCCGCTACGCAGGAGGCTGAGGTGGGAGGATTGCTTGAGACCAGGAGATCACAGCTGCAGTGAGCCATGATCGTGCCACTGCACTCTGGGTTGGGAGACAGACAGACTGAAAAAAAAAAAAAGTAAAATGAAACAAAATCTCTGCTCTGGACACTGCTAGGTACTGAGAGGTAAAAACAAATAAGATGTAGTAGGTTCCCTCAGTGGGCTTATGGTCTATAAGGTACTGTTTTATTTATTTTTGCCTCGCACACCAGTTACAAAGTCCTCAATATGTGTTTCTGGATGTCTGATTGTCTTGGGGAAACAGGCAAGCAAACCAATAATTTCAATGAAATGACAGGCTGTAACTGTGCCTGGCACAGAGTAAGTACCTGCTACCATATAAGCATTAACTGTCTTGATTATGAGTTCAGTAAAAGAAATGCTGAGATGGAACGTGCGGGCTGAAGGTTGAGGGTGAGGAGGGAGAAGTGCATTCAGGGAAGTCTTCCAAGAGGCAGTATCATTGAGCTTAGTTTTGATCCGCGTGTAGGCGTTAGCCAGTAAGAGAAGAGGGTTATGTGTGTTCCAGGCAGAAGGAACATTGTGTGCAGAGTTAGAGAGGCGTGAAATAGCACAATACATTCAGGGAACTCCGAGTAGGCAAGAAGGACTGGAGCGCCATCCTTATTGTGACATCCAGCATGCATTTTTTAAATGAGTACTTGAGATTAGAGGCTGTGGGATGAAACAAAACAAATGAGACATTGCTTGTGTTACTCTGGTCTTCAGCATTAAATGAAATAAGCAGTCATGGCCGAAGTGGCCAGGGGATTTGTTGACTGTCACATTTGCTCTGGTACAAATGCTGCAGAGTTTCCTACTGCACAGTCGGCCCCTTTCCTCTGCTAGAGGAAGTAAATTCACTTAATTTGTCTGTTTCTTTCAAAACGACTGAAATAAATTACAATAAAGTTGATGAGACCGTAGTGTAGGTGAAGATGTTTTTGCATAGGAACATATTGCTCTAGACCAGAGGTCAGCAAACTATGGCCTGAGGGCCAAATCTGATCTACGGCCTGCTTTTGTAATTAAGTTTTATTGGAATATAGCCATGCTCATTTGTATACCGGATGCCTATGGCTGCTTTAGTGCTACAACAGCAGAGTTAGGTAATTGTGACAGAGACTATACGGCCTGCAAAGCCTAAAATATTTACTGACTGGCCCTTTACAGAAAGTGTTTGCCAATCCTAGGCCAGGTGCAGTGGCTCACGCCTGTAACCTCAGCACTTTGGGAGGCTGAGGCAGGAGGATCACTTGGGTCCAGGAATTTGAGACCAGAGTCCAGGAGTTTGAGGCCAGCCTAGCGTACATGGCAAAACCCCATCTCCACTAAAAATACACACAAAAAAAGTAGCCAGGCATGGTGGCAAACACCTGTAGTCCCAGCTGCTTGGGAAGCTGAGGCAGGAGAATTGTTTGAACCCAAGAGGTGGAGGTTGCAGTGAGCCGAGATTGAAGAAAAGAAAGTGTTTGCCAATCCTTACTCTAGACTCATCTCTTCTAATCTGATAAGTAACAACCACCTGAATATTTAAAACAAGATATTGAGCTGGTTTAGAGCCAATGTGGTAAACAATAGATTATCGAATTTTAAAAATTCACTGTTAAGGAGAAAGAAGATTGCACATACATTAGCCATAAAGTGTGCAATAATCACGAATGAATAAATAAACATAGTTTTTGTGATTGGTTTTCAAATTTACCTCTGAGCTTTCTAGCCATGGGGGCGGGGAAGAAGATAATTGGTCATCTGTATTAGTTACCTGTTACTTCATAACAAACCATCTTAAAATTGCATGGGATAAAGCAGCTACCATTTACTATTTCTAGAGTCTGTGAATTGGCTGAGAGGTTCTGCTGATCTGGGCTGGGCCCAGCTGTTGGTAGAGGGCTTGCTCACACATTTGCGATCAGCTCGTGTGTTCGCTTGGAGCTGACTGGTCTACAATGGCTTCAGCTGGAGCAGCTCATCTCGACTCCACAGGATGTCTCATCCTCCAGCAGGCTAGCCTGGACTTGCTTGCATGGCAGTGGCAGGTTTCAGGAGAAAGCGGTAGCACACACTTGAGGCTTAGGCTTGGAACTATTATTACTTCAATTACATTCTAGTAGCCAAAGCCAGTCAAAAGGCAGGCCCAGACTCAAGGAATGTAAATAGACTCCAGCTCTTGATAGAAGGAGCTGCAAAGTCACATTGCAAGGGGCAGGGAAACAGGAGGGACAGAATTGAGGCCATGTTTGAAATCACAAACAATCAATCATCATCTCAAACAGCATGTATTCCAACCACAAAATTTTAAAAGTCATCTCTGTGGTCTAAAGTGGAAACAACGAGTCATTGTACATCAGTCTATTCAGCCCCACCCACAGATATGAATCACCAGTGTCTTCAACTAAGAGGACCACTATCTTCTAGCTAATGACAAATACAGAGGAGGGGTGGAAAGAAGCCTCGTGGAAATGTGTACATATCACGTGAGACCCAGACCCATATTCAAATACCACTTGATGAATTTCACCAGGGAATCAGACCCAGTTTTAATGAGTTAGAAGGAAACAGAAAATCATTGTCACAGATGTAAGCAATAACTAAACGTTAGCTTTCGAGACTAAAGCCTAAGCAGACCTACAATATTCTGGCTGATTCCCATTTGCCTCCACTTTCATCATGGGGTGGTGTTAAAATTGATCACTGTATTCAAAGATCGCATCGCTATCTATGGATATGGATGTGATTGAAATGACAGATATGGGAGAATTTTTTTAACTTACTAGCCATGTGATGACTTTTTAAAATTTATTGCTAGAAAATCTTCGCTATTACCAAACTTGCCTCAATAAATGATGTTATGTATAAATAGCCACAGTGATGTCAGAAGACCTCCTTAGCAATTCTTTTTCTAGTATGATAGGGCTGTCTGTAAGAAGAGAGTAAACGTAGATAGCTCTTGCTTCTTAGAGTATTTCAGAATCTCCCTAAAAGTCTTTTATATTAAAAAAAAAAAAAAAAAAGCGCAAAACTCGCAAACCACCCAGACAAAAACCACACAGCCTAAGTATGAGAATGTTCTCTCTGGCCTAGAGCCAGCCAGGGTCCTTAGCTTTGTTTGTAAGACGCCAGTGCCTTTAAACTCAGACTTTGTGGAGTTGCCACCATCAGACTTCTGTAGTAACAGCAGTAGTGAGTAGGGAGGAACATGACAGAATTTAGAGAACTATTAGATGCCTGTCGACTCAGACATCAGGACCAGCTGTGAATGGAAATATCTTTCAACTTAGATATAATGAAAAGGACCGGAGCTGTTGATGTTACTGAAGAGGTGGAAACAAAACCTTCAGGATGTTTGAAGATAGGTTTATAGGAGGGCTGGGGGTGATAGGGTTGTCTTAGGAAGAACAAATGATGCTTCCAAAATTTGGGTGCAGAAAATCAGAAGTTAACCTTGTGTGGGTCACAAGGTTAAACGTAATGAAGGTTAAGAGTGACAAGGTTAAATGACATAATGTATAAAATACCTGGTGGGTTACTTAGAAGAGTAGACCTCAAAAATGTTGGTTCCCTCCCTCTCTCGGGATCTCCCCCACCACATTAAGAATTTCTTATAAAATGAAAAACCTGCCAGCTAGGTTCCACTGGAGGCATGTCAAGTAGGATGAGCTACTGAGAGGTGGTAACAACAAAATCCACATCCAGGTGGATGGAGCAGGGGATGTCACCTCTCCTGCCCCTCCCCTAATTACAGGTTGGAGGCAGCATAAAGAAATCCCTTCCTTCCTGCAGAGGAAGTATGTGTGTTCTCTCAGACCTACCTTGGCATTCCTTGATGTCTTAGAGAAGCAGATGACCCCGGCTGAGCAAGACAGTCAGCAGAACAGCAGCCCTTGATGCTGCAATTGGAAATTTCCATTCTTTGCTTGCAGCTCTGAAAAAAAAAAAAAAAAAAAAATCTAAAGAGCCCAGTAGCTGGGAAATTTCCACGATGGAAAATTTTAGCATATTCTTTAGCTCTAAACTATGCAGGTTTATAGAGACTATTTTTTTTTCTTTTGGTAATTTTCTTCTTTAACAATAATTTATGATCATTGTAATACTACAGCTGTGGGAATAAGGAGAACAAAATGACTTGGAGGGGAATGGGTATGGTTTAGGCTAGTGGGAGGCTGTGCTATCTACTTGTGTGACCACCCAAATCATAGAAATGCAGATTGCTACAAGACCCACTGGTTGGAAACTCACCCAAAATAGAGATAGCTTGCCCTGGAGCACTGCAGAGAAATCTGTGTAGAGACTAGTAGTGGAAAATAGATGGATACAGCTTTAGACCAGGACATGGTGAGTTCTATTGCTGGAAAAAGCAACTCAGGTCCCTAAGACCACTGCTACTTAAAACTAAAAATGCATACGAATCACCTGGGAACCTTGTTAAGGTAAAGATTCTGATTCAGTAGGCCTGGAGTGGAGACAGAGACTGTGTGCTCCCAGGTGACATTGATGCTGCCCTTCTGAGGACCACGTTGTGATTAGCTAGGCCATAGACAGCAAGTCTACATCGGTATAAGGTCAGTTCCCCTTGGGTAGCAAAACACTGCCTAAGGGTGGTTGGAGGTGAGCCCCCATGGGGTTGTTTTCTCAGGTTACAAAGCTAAGGTCTAAAAGTGGAACGGGATATCTTCTGGAGAGATGCTCCATGCAAGTCTGGATAAAGTGGATCTCTTGAGATGCGGAAAGGCAGGCAGTTGCGAGAATGCTGCTTACTCCAGCAGATTCAAGTTGGGGGCTTCTAGAAATCAATGCCTTTCCAGAGAACTCTTGCATCAAGTTGGCGAAGATTCCTAAGCTGGTCCTGATTTCTGAGTGATTCTCCAGTGTTGTGGCATGTGAGTGAAACACCAATGAACCAGCTCCAAATAATGAGGGAAGACTGTTGACTAGGATGATGTGAAGGAAAGGAGTCCAGAGAATAAATTACTTCCACCCTAGCTAGAATAGTTGCCTCACTTTTATTGAGATGAAATAAAAATGAAATTGAAGAATTTTCCATTTATTTAACAGTTATCTTGCCTTTGTGCTACCAATTTTACAGAGAGAGAAAGAGATCAAAATTTGTGGCATCTTCATTACAGGGTGTTACCTCCAATTGGTCTGTAATATATCTGCTGTGCATATTTTCTTTTCTTTTCTTTCTTTTTTTTATTTTTTGAGACAGTCTCGTTCTGTTGCCCAGGGTGGAGTGCAGTGGTACAATCTCAGCTCACTGCAACCTCCACTTCCCAGGTTCAAGCAATTCTCGTGCCTCAGCCTCCCAAGTAGCTGGGACTTCAGGCAACTGCCACAATGCCTGGCTAATTTTTTTTTTTTTTTTGTATTGTAGTAGAGACAGGTTTTCACCATGTTGCCCAGGGTGGTCTCAAACTCCTGAGCTCAGGCAATCTGCTTGCCTTGGCCTCCCAAAGTGCAAGGATTGCAGGCGTGAGCCGCTGCACTCAGCCTGCTGTGTGTATTTTTAAAGCAACATTTGTCCTATGTTTTTTATCTCCATTCACTCGAGTTTTGGTTGGGTTGTTACCATTACTCAAAGTACACACAGGAACATGAAGAAAAGGAGGAGGGATATTATGAAAATGTGATGTTGAAATCAGAGTAAGTATTTGATTTAAATCAAATTAAATCCAATAAGCTTGGAATTAATTTGACTATATAATAACAAGTATTAAAATATATATTGGAAGTAAATAAGTATTCTAATATGTTAACTTCTATATGATATTCAATATTTTTAAATGGCTTACAGAATTGTTTAGGGATTTGGACTTCCAGAGATTGGTAAATGTCTTCCCTGTGGAGTCAAGGTATGATTCAGCAATGAAACAGTCTTCCTGATAGTAATCAGGAGATCAGTTTTTTTTTTTCCTTACTATATGTCTTGATGAGCAATTATTTATCTAAGAACCATCTTACAACCTACAGCCCATCAAATGGAATTTACTAAATCCATCTAAAGCCACATTTTTTTTAATTACTATTTTTGAGACAGGCTGGAATTCAGTGGTACCATCATGGCTCACAGCAGTCTCAACCCCCCCAACCCTTATCACCCACCCATAATGCCCAGCTAATTTTTTTAATTTTTAAAATTTTTTTGTAGAGATGTGGTTTCCTTATGTTGTTCAGCTGGTAACAAACTCCTGGGCTCAAGCAACCCTCCCCCCTCAGCCTGCCATAGTGCTGGGATTACAGGCATGAGCCACAGCAACTGGCCCTTTTTAAAAATTATCGAGGTGGAATTCACATAATATAAAATTACATATGTTATTTATTTTTCTTGCCTTTTCTTTTTTTCTGGAAACAGGGTCTCCTTCTGTTGCCCAGGCTGGTCTTGAACTCCTGGGCTTAAGCAATCCTCCTCCCCCGGCACCACCTCGACCGCGGCCTCTCAAAGTGCTGGGATTATAGGCATGAGCCACTGTGCCCAGATAATTACCTACTTTTTTTTTTTTTTTTTTTTTTGTAGACGGAGTCTTGTTCTGTTGCCCAGGCTGGAGTGCACTGGTGCAATCTCAGCTCACTTCAAACTCCGCCTCCCAGGTTCAAGTGATTCTCTCCTGCTTCAGCCTCCGAAGTAGCTGGGATTACAGGTGCATGCCACCATGCCCAGCTAATTTCTTGTAGTTTTAGTAGAGATGGGATGTTAGCCAGGATGGTCTCGATCTCCTGACCTTGTGATCCACCTGCCTTGGCCTCCCAAAGTGCTGGGATTACAGGCGTGAGCCACCAAACCCGGCCAACAATTACCTATTTTAAAGTGAACAATTCAGAGGCATATAGCATATTCATAACATTGTGCAATCACCATTTGTATCTAGTTCCAAAACACTTTAATCATACCCAAAGGAAACCCCATCTCCATTAAATGGTTGCTTCCAATTCCCCCCTGCAGCACCTGGCAACCACCAATCTACGCTCTGACTCCGTAGATTTGCCTATTCTGGATATTTCATATAAATAGACTTATAGTATATGTATATGTAAAGTCCCATCTTCTTAATAAGCATCGTAATTATAAAAGCTAATGTTAATGAGTACATATAACAGATGAGATATTCAATCCTTACAAGCTTATAAGTGGGTACCATTATTAGATAGACAAGAAACCTAGAATTTAGTTTCAATCAATACATTAAAACCATATGCTTGAGATCCATACACATGGCCAATCAGAGAATAACCTTCTTGGGCCAGACCCAGTTACTCTAGTGCTTTTTCCAAATGCCACAGGCACGTCTCAATTTTCATTTCCCTGATCACAAACAGATGGATAGATACTCCTTCTCAAGTTTAACAGCTTCACAGAGCTTGATTCAAATACTGAATGTGTTGTTAGTTGCTTACAGCTGCTATTTCTCTAGCAATGCAGTAAGTCCAGGCAAACTCTTTTGAAGAGCTCATTAAAACTGCTAAAATAAAGTCTCAGAAGCAGGTGCATTCATTAGCTGAAATGCAGACGATTATGTTAATATCGCATTCAGGTGACAAATTTAAAGGCATCAAATCATGAAGGATAAAAGGATTTTCAAAGCTAAAGTTAACTTCTCCCTTTGTAGGGCTTTGTTCTGGTAAGCATGTGACTGACTACAGCTGTCAACATGGGCACCTCCAAAGTTACCTCGCAAAAACAAAGGTGTTTTGCAGTATCATGCTTCTTTTACCATTTCCTGGGTCTCTATTGAAGAAAAGAAAGGTAAGGAATTACCTAAAAACCTGGTGCTATTTTTCAAATAGATCTGGCACCCCATTTACGATTTATTGTGAGATAGGTCCCAGGGAAAGAGGAGACATGTTAAAGAAGGCAATTAACATATGTGGACAGTGGGCCAGGCGCAGTGGCCCACGCCTGTAATCCCAGTATGTTGAGAAGCCGAGGTGGGTGGATCACTTGAGGTCAGGATTTTGAGACCACCCTGGCCAATATGGTGAAACCCCATCTTTACTAAAAATACGAAAAATAGCTAGGCATGGTGGTGTGTGCCTGTAATCCCAGCTACTCAGGAGGCTGAGGCAGGAGTATCGCTTGAATCCAGGAGGTGGAGGTTGCAGGAAGCCGAGATTGCACCACTGTACTCTACTGTGGGTGACAGAGCGAGACTCTGTCTAAAAAAACAAAAAAAGAATATGGACAATGATTCCCAATTTGGAAAGATGGGCCAACAACTCTTTTACTTTGCCTTTTTCCCCCTCAATACCTTGAGCATGAAATATATATGTAACCATGCACATATTTCATATGTGTTTGGGAGACTATGTTACCAGTAGTTTCACCAGGATAATTTTAATTTTCTTTTTCGTGTGTATTTTTGTATTTCTCACATTTTCTACAATGAATGTGTAAATTTTTTAGAAATTTTAAATGTCCATTTTTAATTAAAATTTTTTATTTTTAAATTAGTAATTTTTCAAGTTATTAAAAATTATGACACACTTAGCGTCTCCACCTTCACCTGTTTCACCTGCAAAGTTGGCTTACTACTGAACTGCATAACACATGGAAGCTGGGCGCAGTGTTCCCCATATTCCATTCCTGCCTTCAAATCTAGGATGCCTGTGGAAATGTGGTTCCTCTTCATAAGGCAATATAAGAAAACACAGCTAAGTATCCAACCATTTATAAGAGTATGTAAACAAGCTTAAGGAGTTTTACATCTTTCTTCACAACATCAATCAAGTGTGCATTCGTCAAAGTGAATGTGTCTGTCACTTGCAAAGGATAAAAGGCTGAACAACTTTTTTGAGGCCAAATCTTTATTATTTATTTTTATTTTTGTATACAAAAAAAAAGCCGTGAAGACTTTGTAAGCTAATATTTGACACATTTTTTTTTTCCAAAATAGAGTACTAAAATGACTGCTGACT